GTTGTCCTGTTCGGTGCTTAGCGTTGTGTTTATTCTTCTATGCTAACCCGGAGGTCCTGATACAGGGCTGCAAAGTTGGACCTGCTCCGTAATCTGTCGCACCTCCTTCTCACTTAGTTCAGGCATGTTTTATACAGTCGAGATTTGGCTTTTGACCTAGTTTGTGTGTGTGTCTTAGTGAATATATTTGTTTTTATCTTTTTCTCTGTTTCAATATTTTTATATATTTTGTTAATATTTCACTAAGCTTATTTTCTGTTTTTTACATGTTGACTTTTTTTTCAGTGTACTAGAAAGTAATACTCCTTTTTTTTTTTTTTTTTGTAGAGAGAGATTTTTGCTATAGAACACATGCATTCACAAGAGAGACAGAGAGTGAGAAATCAGCCCCCAGGGGCCAGCCTGGGGACACTGCAGTCCCTTTTCCTCCATTCTTCTCTTGGGGTCTTGGGCACACATGCACATGCACCTGGCTTGAGCTTTAGGTGGCCAGGTCTGGGACTTGACCTGCCGTTAACAACGTGAGAGTTCAGCAGTATAACCATTACGCCATCTGCTGGTCCCTCCAGTAATATTACTTTTCATAATCACAGTTATTATTATTAATACTATTACTCTGATACTGGTAAGATTAGTGGTAACCTCAAGTGTTTAATAGTATTATTTTAAATTTTTTTTGTTGTCAGAGTAAAGCAGGAAATAATTTAATGTTACCTCTATTTAAAATGAGTTTTTCTTTAATGCTTTTTTTTCCATCTAAATGCCTAGCTTTTTATGAGATGAACCACAACTATTATCATTAAATGAGTTCTCTTTTTTAAAAGTATTTATTTAAAATATTTTTTTTAGAGAGATTTTTGCTACAGAGCGTGTGCACTTGTCAGACAGAAAGCGAGAAATCACCCCCCAGGGGGCTGACCAGCCTGCAGTCCCTTCTCCACTCCTCTTGGGATCTCGAGCACGCACGCACACAGGCACACACGCACACACGCCTGGCTTAAGTTTTAAGCTGCTGTGTGTGGTTCAAACTTGAACTGTGGTTGGCTGTGTGGGGGTCCAGTGATGTGATTATGCCATCTGCTGGTTCTTATTTAAAATAATCTTAAATTTTTTAAAGTTTATTTATTTCTTCCATAAGCAAGGTGGAGGCAGGCAGTGTGAGAGCAGGAGTGCCCCAGCAGGGCGCCGATGCCACCCTCCACTCCAGCCTCAGCCAGTCCTGGAGCACTGGCAGGCAGGCGCGGGCTGGGCCTTCTCAGGGCGGTCTCCAGCCTCGAGGTAGGGACCTTCCGCAGAGCACTGCATTTCACTGTCCCACTGCTAGGCCCTTTCTAGAATTTAATCTTAGTTTTTAATTTTTTTAGGGTTAGGATCTTCCCACTTTACTCATGCTATCCTCTCAAACTCAAAATAATCCTGCCTCAGTCTCCCCGGTAGCTGGGATTACAGAGTGTACAACCACGCCCAGCTAAGTGACTTCTCTTCCAAAACGATCTTTTGGCGTTGCATTTTGATTTGTTACTTTATGGTGCTCTCTGTCTATTTATATTTGTCTCTGTTTTTGAAGTTTTCATTGTTCACCAGTAACTTACTTCAAAGCCCCGTGAAGGACCAGGTAGGACAGTGACTTGGGACTCACACCCAGCAGTGGCAGGGTTAGAACCCCTCTCCCTCCCCAGCGCCCCGGAGTACTGGCAGGCACATGTGGTCTCCGTGCCCTTGAGCGCCTGGAGCTCTCCACTTTGCCCAGGTAGTTCTTGTCCCTAAAGCATCTGAGGTTGGAGTGGGGGTATGCGGGCTCAGGGAAAGGGAGGCCAGACCAGCCAGGAGGCGCCTTTCCTTCTGAGGGCCTGCAACATCCTTGATTTGTGCAGAGGTCTTTTTTGAGCGAGAGATTTTGGCTGTAGAGCACGTGGGCTCACCAGAGACAGACAGCTAGAAATACAGCCATACCACAATCCCTTCTCCATTTTCCTCTGTGGATTTTGTACATGTTCACACATGTACTTGGCGTGTTTCAAGCCGCTAGGTCCTGGATTTGAGCCACAGTCATCCACGTGGGATTTCAGCACCTTAACCACCATGCCATCTGCAGGCCCTGGAAAACTTTCAATTCCTCATTCTGGGCACCATTGATTCAGCTTTGGGCCTCCTCGACTCGGCCCAGAGCTTATGGTTGCGCTGCGAAGACACAGAACCTCCTGCTTCTGCTGTAGGGGAGGGAGTGTGGTCAGGGTGCCGGGCTCAGCCTCACCCCTTCGCTGTGCAGCTTCTGGATGTGCACTGGCTGCTGGAGCGCCTGGGGACCCTGGCCTCCACTGTGCACTCACAGCCTGGGTGAGAGCGACACTACAAGACTGCAGCTAGCCTGGTGGGCCCTTGGTCTTTTCCAGAAAGCCACATTCCTTTTAGTGTTCCTTTCTCGCTACCCAGAACTTAGGCGCTATGGAGGATCTGTGGTTTTGTCCTGGTTGTGCACAGCATAGCCGTGAGCTTCCTTTTGGTGCCTGTTTCCCTTGTCCCTGAGCCCACTGGGGAGAGGGGTGGCTCAGGCGGAGGCTGCCCAACAGTGGGTTTGTGTCCCAGCTGAGGAGCCCTGAGCTTGGGGAGCCCCGGGATGGACAGTTTGCTTGGAGCAAACATCGTCTGTTATACTAGTCAGTGCACACACCAGCCCCTGCCTCAGGGGAGACAGCGTCACTAACTCCCAAGATATCTGTTGTGTAAATGTCCTTGGGTCCCAAACAAGGGCTGTCTGTGTGCTCGTGAGGGGCCCGCTGTCTCCTAGCATGAGTGTGGGTTTGAAGAAAGAAGTGTAATGGCTGAGCAGAAATTCAGCAGGCATCAGGCTGCATGCACCTCACGGTGAGGGACCCCTGCGTTTGCCACCCTGACACGTGTTTGCTGCTGCACGGCTGGAGCTCACGTGGCCATTGTAACTTTCTTGTACAGCGGGTTGGCTGGTGCCGAGGGCCAGCTGTTCAGTTCCAGTGTGGATATCCCAGCACAGAGCCCATGGCGTTCCGTGTTCGTGGGCCCTCCTGCGTCGCTCCAGGCTCTTCAGGCAGGAAAGGATGGAGCCAACAGGGGTGACACATGCAGACTACAGCACCTCCTCCTTTTAGCTTTTTATGTATAGGCTTTCCACAAAATAGTTCAAGTGCAGTAATCAGACGGTTACTTAGGGAGAGCTGCCAGGGGCCGGCCGTGGTGTAGTGATTAAGGTGCTAGATTCCCACGTGGCCGACTGGTTCAGGTCAGCTTGGAACTCATGCTGGGCGCATGTGCACGCATGCCCAACATCCTGACAATGCAGAAGGGATTGCGGCGTGGCCACTGCCCCCCCTCGGGGTTGATTTCTCACTTTCTGTCTCTGTCTCTCTGTCTCCCCGGCAAGCACGCATATCCTATAGCAAAAATCTCTCAAAAAGAAGAGAGGCCAGCCAGCAGGTGACATAGTGGTTACAGTGTTGGACCCCCTGTGCAGACCACAGTTCAAGTCCTGGACTCAGCGACTTGCATATCACACCGGGCGCATGTGCACGTGCCCAAGGAGAGTGGAGGAGCAGAGACTGGCGTGGCCATGCCCCTGGGGGTGATCTCTCACTCCCTCTCGCTGTCCGTCTCTCTGGTGAGCACACGTGCCCTATGGCGAAAACCTTACAAAGGGCGGAAGGAGGAGGGGAGAGGTGGCTGGTGAAAGGTGCTGGTGGTTCTGCTCCCCGTCCTACACGGCTCCCGAGCTGGGAGGTAGAGCTTTAAAGGAGTCTTCTGTCGCGGAACTTGTCATCAGCCTGTGTCAGCTCCTCCCCAGCTCTGCTGTGGTGAGACGTGAGCAGCTCATCCTGGTCCTCGCCCCACGTCATGAGCTGGCGCTCACGTTCAGGGACAGTGCTGAAGCCTGCCCAGGGCAGCCCCGAGGGAGACTGTGGTCCGGTCACAGGCCGCAGAAAGGCCACTTGGGCTCCGCAGCCGTCATCGAGGGCGCGGTCTCTCCATGCCTCGGGTGTTTCTCTCCCTCTGTCCGGAAACCAAGGAGCGGGGGTGCCACGTCCAAGTGCCACGATGCCTGGTGCTGAGAAAAGCAGGAGAGGCCATTTGGGATAACGCTAGACTGAGAGTAGGTTGGGGTCTTCGTGTACGACTCCCATGGTGAGCGCCGTAACGGGAAACGAAAGGTTCCCTGCTTTACTGGAACGGCGTGAGGTGGCCTTTGTCGTGTTAGACGTGGTGTGTCAGTGCAGTGCGAAGGGGCAGTAGGGCTTTAAAATTTAGGTGCAGACTCGGTCACTGGAGACTCTTCAGGAGTATAAGGAAGTTCTTTCCTTTTTTTCTCTTTCTGCCCCCTTGTTCAGTGGTTTTCAAGTTCAAAAAGTCTTGCTGCTAGTTTGGCTCTGGGGTCAGAATTTATTTTATATTTAAAACAGAATTGTGCATAATGATTCTTCATTATATCCCAGCCTCATGGATTAATGAAAGTTCTTTCTAATGTGGAGAAAGGAGTCACATATAATTGATACAAATAACATCTGTGTTTACGACGCTGGGTCACAACAGGCGGTTCTTCAGCTGCTCGCTAGAGGGCGCCGGAGGCGGGGGCAAGGCGGAATTCTGCCCAGAAGGCCTCCGCCCGCGTGGGCCCTGCCCTGGGGAAGAGGGGCGCTAAGGTCGCGGTGTGCCCGGTTGGCCTCCTACTCCTGCGGTCAGAATCTCAGGTGGGCACCCATTAGTCTACGCCCTTAGGGAGAAGTGTTGGCAAAGTACTTGATTGTTAAATATGGTTCTGCCAAATGTTACAAAATTTTTTGTACTGTATTCTCAGCTTAATAGTATTTTCCATAATTTTGAAAAGTCAGTTTAGACATTATAAGCCTTTTTCTATAAGTAAGTACCAGTTTTCTCCCCTTCCACAGTATCACTTTATGCTTTCATGTAGGCAGAAGCCTAACTTTTTATGGCACGAGGATGAAATCCTAAGGGTCTCTGCCTTCTGCTTCCAGGGAATCCGAGCCCGCGTCCTGGAGACCCTGGTCATGCTGCTGCTCCTGGCCCTGCTGGTCCTCGGCATGGTGTGGGTGGCGTCGGCGCTCGTGGACAATGGCGCGGCCAGCATGGAGTCTCTGTACGGTGCGCGGCCCTCCTGCCCGGGGCGTGTGGGAGGCAGTCTGGGCTGGAGTTACACACGCGCTTTCAGAGGCGTTCCGACCGGGCTGTGTAGTTTACCCTTGACGCCGATTTGTAGGAGTAAGGTCTTGAAATAGATTGGAAGAAAAGCAAATGAGTGTTTGTCTGTTTCATATATACAGGACGAGGAAGCACTTTTCAGATTTTGTGTGTGGTTAATTGGTTTCTGTCTTTGAAATTCCAGAGACTTTTTTCTCTTCTCCAAACAAGTTTTGCAGAAGTGTTATTTCCTATTTTTTTGGTTTAGATCTTTTATTGTACAGTTTAGAAATGTTCTTAATATAGACTGACTGTATGTTAACGCGCAGTCATTTGGATGTATTGAAATATATTTCCTTCTTTTTATAGATCTCTGGGAGTTCTACCTACCTTACTTATACTCTTGTATATCGTTGATGGGATGCCTGCTGCTGCTCTGTGAGTACTCTCCTGGCTTCATACTCATTGGGAAGCAGGGTATTCTGGAAAGGGGCGGGAAAGCTTCCTGAGGAGGTTTCTTAACAATCTGGAGATTTTTTGAGCCAAATTTTGATAAACTGAAGCCTTTAACTAGTAAGATGTTTTGTTGTTTAAGTAAATTCCCTTCTACTGGTTGGAGAGAAGAACACATACTTACATACTCACGACCTGCTCAGACTGTGCTGGGAACCGAACCGGCACCTGTGTGGCCCCAGCCTCTGGCAGAGCCTCTCTCATCTGTGTGATGAGGTTGAAGAATCTGACAGGACACGCAGTGAACCTAAGCAGGAGACAAGGCCGGTCTTCAAGTGCTCCTCTTTGAGTTTGCCTGTTTAGACGGACTGCCCTAGCTCTGAGGCGTAGCGCTCCCCGCTGACGCCCTGCTGTCCTCTGTCCTGTCCCCACAGTGTGCACACCCGTCGGCCTCTCCCGCATGTTCACGGTGATGGGTCAGCTGCTAGTGAAGCCAGCGGTAAGTATGCCATCATTGATCACCCTCTAGATCCACTAGATCCACAAGTGTCAATGAGAAGCAGATCCAACTTTTTAAAGTTTATCATTCAAATTTTTTTTTTTTTTTTGTCAGGGGAAGAGGTTTTTGCTATAGAGTATGTGAGCTCACTAGAAAGACAGAGAGGCAGAAAGTGAGAAATCACCCCCCAGGGGGGATGGTCACACCACAATCCCTTCTCCTCCATTCTCCTCTCGGGATCTTGGGCACGCACACACACGCGCCCAGCGTGAGTTTAAGCCACTGGGTCTGGGACTCAAATCGTGGTTGACTACATGGGAGTCCAGCGACATAGCCATTATGCCAACTGCTGGTCCCTATTTATTTATTTATTTATTTACTGGAGAGGTTTTTGCTGTAGAGTGCATGCACTCACTGGAGAGTCAGAGAGACAGAAAGCAAGAAATCACCTCCAGGGGGATGGCCACGCTGTAGTTCCCTTCTTCCACTCTCCTCTCAGGGTCTTGGGCATGCACACACATGTGCCCTCATATTTTAAGCTGCCAGGTTCAAGTCTTGAACTGTGGTCAACTGCATGGGAGTCCAGCAACGTAACCATTATGCCATCTACTGGCCCTTCTAACTGTCTTTAACTGCTAGAAGAAGTGTGCACTCCCTAGAGAGGGACAGGCTGGGGAGAACGTGGAGGAGAAGCGCCCCGACAGGGTGGTCATGCCGGAGCCCTCTCTCTCCACCCCTCCATCCTGTTGGGGTTCTGGGCTCGCTTGCAGAGGGCATGGTGTGTCTTTTATGCTGCCAGAGCCAGGACTTGAACCATTGTCAGCCAGGTGGGGTCCAGCTCCCCTAACTCTAGGCCATGGCGCTGGCCCTGGTCTCTAACTATTTTGTCATCTATTTAGTAACGTGAAAGTAATATAGCTGCAGGAAATACAGGAAATTCTTCACTGGAGTTGTTTTCCTGGATCCTCACTGCCCGCTAAAAGCGGGCTGAGCTGCTTAGGCTTACAAGGCTGTTTACAGCCTCCCCCACAGCGAGCTGGCCTTGACCTGCTCCCCATCAGCCCGGTTCTAGTTCCCCGCTGACTGCTGTGTCCCCAGGGATTGCATGCTCTCCCCTGCGGCTGTGGCTCTGCCCCTCCAGTTCCTCTGCCAGCTTCAGCCGCCTTCCTTCCAGCCTCCTGCGGCCCAGCTCAGATACTGACTGTACGCACTGCATGGCTTCAGACTGCCTCACTCTTCTTCCTTTTTATTTCTTAGAATTATTTATTTTATTTATTACTATTTTTTAAATTTTCCTACAGGGCACACGCACTCACCAGAGACAGAGGGAGAGAGAGAAAGCTGCCAGGTCCGGGACTCAAACTGTGGTTGACTGTGTGGGAATCCACACCTTAGCCACCATACCACCTGCTGGCCCGCTGCTCACTTCTTTAAACAAAAATAATTAACCTCATTTCTCTGCACTCTCATGTTTTCCTTTTTATCTCGCTGATAATATTGGGTTGTCGGAAAAGTCATGATGTATTTTTCTATGTTTTTCTATGCAAAAGTGCATGCTGACTTTTCTGACAACTTAATACTTATTAATATAGTTACTTGTCTATCTTCTCTATTGTGGAAATCCACTAAAAGAGAACGTTTTAGTGGATATTCTTTTAGTAGAGCTTGCTTAATTTTCAAAGTCGAAACTCCTCATCTCTTCTTTTAAAATACAATTTTATTTTAAAATGTGCTACGTAAGTGTATACATACTCAAATACAACACGCATGCTGTCAAATCACCTCCCTCTTCCAGAGAGTTCGTGACAGTGCATTTGTGTAGCTCCTCATGCATCGCCGGCCTTCTTGTTCCCTCCCCATCTCTGCTTCCTGCCTCCTGGATACAGACACATGAAGTCCTGTCCTTTGCCTCAGGCTCTGTGCTCGGTGATCTCTGCCATCCCACGCCATGTGTCTTCTGAATGTTTTCCTCTATGGTTAGAGGAAAAGGCGCTGGAAGCAAATGATAGTCGATTGTAAGTGCGGCCATTGACTGCTTCATGGAGCTGAAGACTGAGCTGTACCGTGGACTGTCAGGCCGCCCTGAATGTCGCAATGCATGCTGACCTTCCTGACCATCTCAGATGTAGTGACAGTCTACTTATTTACCTCCTCTCAAGCTAAGGTTTCTTCAAAACATGAATCTTTAAAAATATTCTCAATTCTTTGTTGTCTTTTCCTTTTTTTTTTTTGGAGAGGTTTTTGCTATAGGACTTGTGTGCTTGCCAGAAAGACAGAGAGAGAGACAGAAAGCGAGAAATCACCCCCCAGGGGGATGGCCACGCCGCAATCCCTTCTCCTCCATTCTCCTCTCGGGATCTTGGGCATGCATGTACACGTGCCTGGTGTGAGTTTAAACCACTGGGTCCGGGACTCGAACCACGGTCGACTATGTGTGAATCCAGCGACATAGCTATTATGCCAACTGCTGGTCCTGGTTATCTTTAGCTCTTTTCTTCTTCTTAACATCTAATAATAATGGCTATTTCTTGAGTAATGCAGCATAAACCACGTTCTGTTTGACACGCGTTATCGTTAACAAGCTATAGTGCTGAAGGGCTTTCACACCGTCGAGCACACGCTGCGCACCTCACTTCATTTTGTCTTCATACGGACCCGTACGTTTGGTGGAGGTTGCCGTGTTTTATGGCTGAGCTCACTTCAGCTCAGGTGGGCAGGATCACAGACTGACGTGGTAGCAGGTTTGGGCCGGGCCCAGCTCTGGACCGTGAGCTGGCTGCCCGGAGTGCCAGTGTCCGCCACAGAACCACTGTCCTGTGAGGGGCCTTGTGCCAGTCCACCTCTGTGATGTGCTTGTAGTCTCCTCTGGTCGAGCTGCTTCTGCTCCTTTGGTCGTTTAAGCTGTCAGGTAAGATGCTACTAGAGATTGAGCCTCCCAGTTTGAATATTCAGAATCTAAAAGGCTCCGAAATCCAAAACTTTTGAGCCTTAACATGTCACAGGTGGAAGTTCCACGCCTGACCTCATGTGAGAGTCGCGTCAAAGTGGCGCAGTGTGAGGGCGCTGCAGTGTGGGCCACCGCAGGCCAGGCACCCGAGGTGTGCAGAGCATAGGTTGGTTTCGGGTCTGTGCTCGTCGAGGCCCAGGATATCTCACTACATGTGCAGGACTCCAAAGGCCCAGGACATGCCTGCTCCCAGCTACCCGGCTCAGGGATGCACAGCCTGGACCAGCACACACACTGGCCACGCGTTTCTTCCCAGCTGCGAGTGATCTTTCTTCCTCTGAACTTGGCTACACTCCATTTATGCCTCAGTTGTGACATTCGTTATAATAGTACAGTTATTTTTCACCTATCTGATCTCTTCTGCTACACTAGAGAGAGCTGGGTGTCCTCGAGGGCCACCTGGTAGCCCCACCGAAGCCCCGTTAGCCATGCCACTACAGGCACAGGCTCGGAGGGCATCTGACCCCTCTTTGCCTCACCATTGCTTCCTGGGCTGCAAGCAGGGAGGATAAACGTGTCGCGTGGCGCTGCAGAACTTCCGAGGGTGATGCTGGTGCTCACTGCGCAGCTCTGCGCATGCTCCCTGCCCTTAGTCACACCTGTGGTGGCCAGTGCTTGTTGGACACTTTGCACGGTAAGGTAGCAGTCCTCTCCTCTGTGTCACACCTTTAGGAAAGCCAGCACGGTCATTTCTGACCCACACAGCAGATGGTGATGAGATGTGCTGGAGGGACAGAGACTGCCGTGGCCCCCACGGACGTGGCCTGCCTGCTGTGGACGAGCTCTGGCTGGGGCGGCACCCCTGGTTTGCTGCACATGGCCTCCTCAGTGTGCTCGAAGGCCATCCCCCCTTTGGCTCAGGCCGCACACGCCAGCATAGGTGTGACCTCCTTGGAGACCCCTTCCCTGCTGGCCCACGACCTGTGCAGGTCTCCCTCCCCCCCTCCCCACGCCTTTATTCCTCGCAGGATGGTGTTCGTAGGTCGGTACTTGTCTGTTGTTCATTCTTTTCATTTATTCGTTCTTTTCTTCAGGATTATGTTTTCTCTGGGGAAGATGGTGTGTGTGCCTAGTGGTTAGTTCCGCGCTACACCATAGGGCATCACAGCCATTGCTGAAAGACTGGGGGATTGTTGAATTGCTTTAAATAAATGTCATATAAATTAGCCACCTGTTAGGGACTGCGTGCTTTGAGAGTCTGTTTTCTGAAAATATCTTATCTGGAAGCTCAAGGAGTGTGCGTAGGGTTTCCGTCCTTCCGTCTGACCCCCCACCCTGCCCACCTGTTAGTTTGCTGGGGAGGAGCGGTTGGAGGTTGCGGTGGTTCACAGCACTGATGCGTCTTTGGGCTTCTTTCGGGTTTTCCTCGGAGGGGAAAATGGGTCCTGTCGAAGAGCTAGGGTTAAGCAAGTATTAAGGTTATCAGTTTTGAAGCAAATGCAGGTAACATCCCATACAATTAGTAGTTGACCTGTTTTTTGTTTGTTTTGTTTTAATTTGAACGTTACTCTTGGGTAGTATCATGCTGAAAGGTTTATGCGTAAGCACACTACTTCTCCAGGGTTCTGGCTGCCGGGTGATTTTAGTAATACCAATGTTAGGGCTGGCCTTGTGCCCTAGAGGTGCAGAGAGCCGGGTCTCACATGCCAACTACAGTTCAAATCCCAGACCTTGCAGCTTGGAAAAAAAACCACTGGATGCAGATGCGTGCATGCCTAAACCCCAGCAGGATGGGGAAATGGAGGAGAAAGGAGTGCCCATGCCTGCGCCTCCCTGGGGGTTTCTTTCTCCCCGTTTGTCTCTGCCTAGTACGTGTGCCCTCGGACAGTTGAAAACAATAGTGGTAATACCAGCGTTCAACAGGCAGCGTGTTCCCAGCGTTTGCAGGTGCTGTGAGTGGAGGGAGCCGTAGAGTCCCCTCTCGGATCACGCAGGAGATGTAAGTGAGCACCAGGTCGCCACCTGAGCAGAGAGCGGTTTCCCGGGTCTCGCTTTTCGGCTGTTGAAAAGTCATACATTTGTTGGCCTTTGAGGAAGCTGCGGAATTTCTTAGTTTAATCTTGTAAACTTAATAAGTCCAAGTACAATGTATGTAGAGTTGGTGATGGGAAACTTTTTTTTTTTTTTTTTTGCTATAGGGCACGTGCGCTCGCCAGACAGACAGAGAGAGACAGAGAGACAGAAAGCGAGAAATCACCCCCCAGTGGGGATGGTCACGCTGCAATCCCTTCTCCTCCATTCTCTCGGGATCTTGGGCACGCATGCACACGCGCCCGGCGTGAGTTTAAGCCACCGGGTCCGGGACACGAACCGCGGTCGACTACATGGGAGTTCAACAACATAGCCATTACGCTAACTGCTGGTCCCCTAATAGTAAACATTTTATGTGTTTAGTTATATACCAAAATATACTTAATTTGTAAGTAAAATAGCTTGAGTGTTTATTCTGGGTTCTTACTGATTTGAAAGGCTATCTTATCTAAAATAACAGACTAAATAGCCTAAACGTTGAGATAAGTGTGAGTTTTGTGATGCTGCATTATCAATTTGCTTTATCTTTACATTTAGATTCTTGAAGATCTCGATGAACAAATTTATATTATTACCCTAGAGGAAAAAGCACTCCAGAGACGACTAAATGGTATGTATATACTATGTGTTAGATCAGCATTAAAAACTGTGTCATTTAAAAAAGACAGATAATTGAAGTAGAAGTCTCTCAGTATCTGCTGCAAGAGGTGAAGACTTTGGGGTGCCAGGGAACGTGCGCAGTGAGCAGGGACGTGCCCAAGCCCTGCCTGCAATCAGCTGCCGGCCACGGGGTCTGCTCTGTTCAGGGACAGTGGCACTGAGGAGCAGGGTACCTCTACTACCAGACTCTCGTGTGTTTAAGCCCGTGCCGGCGTGAAGGTGCCCGTGTCCTTGAGGCACTGTAATACCCTTCTGTGTTTCCTCTGCGTTGGAATCTTTAAAGTAAAAGGTAGTGTGTCTCTTCGCAGTAAGTCTTTACCTAGGAGCTCATGTTGTTGTCCGCTGCTAACCAGGTCAGCATGTCAAGATCTGAAAGTTTACTTTTTAATTACTGATCATTTTTGGCCTCAGATGAAGAACCAATGAAGAAATGAGTAATGGTAATAGCTTAACGGAGGAATGATTTGGTTTAGAAAAATTTTCTTTAATTTTGGTTGTGGAATTTTCTTTTATATAGCCTTAAAAAAAAGTCAGAAGTCTCCTGGCCCCCAAGATAACATTTTAATAGCTCACAATGTTTCAGAATCATAATTCAAGAATGTTATAAAATGGAAGATTACTTTAAATATGAAATAATGAGCAATAGCAAGAAATACACCTTCTCTCTGCAGTTGCAGATCCTTTAAATCCTCAACCCCAAGGTGTTGGTACTGTGTAGAACTCTATTCTTGGATCAAATCATCTCAGTTGACATCTATCCTAGAGGGTTTCTTTTTAAATCGCCCTAGTGTGCGTGTACTCACACGTGAGGGAGGGGGGCCCTCCTCCCCCCAGTAGGGCGTGCCACACTGCAGTTCCTTCTCCTCCCAGGACCCTGGGCACTGATGCAAACACACTGGGCATGTTTTTTAAGCTTCCCTGTCCAGGCCACGTGGGTTTGGCTCTTAAACCATGGTACTACACAGTTGGCCTCATCCTAGAGAGTTCTCGGCAGTGACATTGTGTACTTTGATACAGATAAATAGAATGGAACTATATGTATTTTTTGTTCTTTTAATTTAACATTTAAGCCTATTTTATTTCAGAATTATAAACATCGATCGATAATGTCAACTTATAAAATTGTGCTAAAGCACTAGATACTGTAGTAGCTTTTTCTTACTTAGGTAATTCTGCGGCTGCATAATAAACACGGTCCCTGAGCTGTAAAGGACAGGTACCAAGCTTCCGTCTGCAGGTAGTAACCATCTCGGCCTGGCCAGGTGTGATTGTTTTACATACCAGGAGGCTGCGCTCCAAGAAGTGTGAACTACAGCGTTGAGGAATTAAAGAACGTAAATTACATCTACACAAAACGAGACAGAAATGAAAGGACGTTATCTCACTTTCCCCTTCCACAACAGGGGGAAAAGGTCCCTCTAGAATCTTTCTACATCCTCAGGCACCTCAGATTCGAAAGTGGTTCCTTACACCTGAAGATACCGAAAAGGAAATATTTGCTAGAATGCTAAGTGTATTCGAGAATGGAGCCAAGGCATCCGACATGGTGTGCACCAGAGTCTGGGGAGGAGGGACAGGGACCGGACAGGTGGCTCAGGCTGGTGTCGCTGGGTGCCGTGTCGTGGGCCGGCATCTCGCCCCCCGCTCGGCGGGTTACCTTCGCACTCTGTCAGGGAAACCCTGTAACGATGCCTTAGGAGATGGTGACCATTTCACTGCCGTCTACTGGCGAGCCTCCCTGGGCCATCTGACGCTGGAAATGATAGGCTAGCTGAGTGGTGTTTGTAGCAAAGATGGTTCTCTGGCAGAGCGGACATTTTGACTAGTGTGGATTAGGAATTGTAAGCTTCAGTAGAATGTGCTGATTGTTGTGTTCAGAGGATAAAATGTTACTGCTTGACTTACTACTTTTAAAGAAAGTGTATAGAAATAGGTAAGATAAACCATTCTTTTTTTCCTTTTTTCTGGAGAGGTTTTTGCCATAGGGTCCGTGCACTCGCCAGAAAGACAGAGACAGAGAGACAGAAAGTGAGAAATCACCCCCCGGGGGGATGGCCATGCCGCAATCCCCCCTCCTCCATTCTCCTCTCGGGATCTTGGGCGCATGCACGTACACGCATCCGGCGTGAGTTTAAGCCACCAGGGCTGGGACTTGAGCCGCAGTCGACTACATGGGAGTTCAGTGACATAGCCAATATGGTAACTGCTAGTCCCAGATAAACCATTCTTATGGGTTTTTTAAATTTAATTTAATTTATTTTATTTTTTTGAGAGGTTTTCGCTACAGGGCGCATGCACTCGCCAGACAGAGAGAGACATAGAGACAGAAAGTGAGAAATCACCCCCCAGGGGGGATGGTCACACCGCAATCCCTTCTCCTCCATTCTCCTCTCAGGATCTTGGGCACGCACGCACACGCGCCCAGCGTGTTTTAAGCCACCGGGTCTGGGACGCGAACCGTGGCCGACTACGTGGGAGTCCAGCAACACAGCCATTACGTTAACTGCTGGTTCCGTGGGTTTTAAATCTAATATGTCAAATGTATTCTGTTTTGACCATTATTTTATATTTTAAATTATGAAAGTAGAATTTAAATTTTTTTCACTCTAGCTATTAAAAAGAACTGCAGAATAATGAGAGTAAAAGACTCTTTAAAAATATGAAGTTACAGCTCTGATAAGTCCCTGAATCCACGGCGGTGCTCAGTGTGCTTCTCTGCGCCTGTGCTGGGACACTGATACACATCTCGGGAGCCCCACATCTTCATGGCTCACTCCGAGCGCTGTCCATGCTTACTGGACAAAAGTGGCACTTCACACACAGCGAGGGTGCTTTACTGTAGGGTGGTCCTTTACTTCCCTTGAGGGCAACATGACTTGCGGCAGATCGAGTGCTCGCGGTCGGTTTTAGAAATATTCTGGCGGATGTGGAATGCCTGCCTGATTGCTCTGCCGAGCCCTGGCACACTGTGCTGCCGTCGGCTCGAAGCTGTTGGAGGTTCATCCATGTCCCCGTCGTCACTGGTACATCGTGGCAGGATAGAGCTGTGCGCGGCGACGCCCTCCGTCGTGCAGAGAGCCAGGGCTCCCGCCTGGACCTGCCCTCCCACGTTTGATCGCACTCTTGGCCGTGGACCTGTGGGGACTCGGGCTCCGAGTTTCGAGGTCTTAGACAAGCTGACTGCAAGGCGGGGAGAGGTGAGAATCTGTGCTTAGACACTTGGAAAGAAACGCAGGAAGGAGCCGTGTGTCCGGGTGGGAGGCAGCCCCAGGGTCACATGCCATTTGGCTAAGGCAACCCCTCCCTCTTGTCCCCATCATCCTGGCAGAAGTGCGACGTCACAGAAGTCACAGGATCCTGCCAACTCGCCTGCCGGTCCCTCAGCACACAGCCTTGCTTCTGTCTGCCCGGGACGCTCCGGGCTAATGCATGTGCTCTGCCCTTCACCGCGCTGGGCAGCCGCTGGGCAGCCCCTGGGACCTGGGCTCCCAAGTGCTTGCTTCCGACGTCTGCCGCCTTGTCACCACACTTCCCACCTGCCCCGCTCCTGAAGCCTTCTGCTGGCACCGTCTGGAGCTCAGAGGCAGGCCGTGACCCAAGTCCCCTGACTCAGCCTTCGCTTCTGGGAAGGAAATGGCCGTCCCCGCACCCGAGTACCCTCTGGGTGCGGCCCCGTGTCTTCCTGGGTGACGTCTGTGCTTCCTGCCCCGGCTCTGCTGTACCTTCACTCCCAGCCAGCCACAGCGTCGGCTCTTTCCGTGAGGGTCCTGCCGCAGACTCCTGTCTGCAGCCCCTCGCACCCCTCGCACGTGCTGCCCTGTCTCCTGGGCTGGGGCGGAGCCGCCTGTGCTCCTGGCTGAGGGCAGCCCCTGCTGCGGCAAGGCCACGGCCATGGCACTTCTGCCCTACTTTGCACAGGCCGTTTCCCCACGTGGGTCGTCGCCATCAGTCTCCAGACGTCCTGCGACTTCCGGAAGGAGAGAGCAGCTGCCTCGCGCTCTCCCCCAGCTCGCCCTGCAGTTGTGCCACTCCCCCTGGCAGAGAGGCTCAGCTGTGGCCCATGCAGTGTGTGGGACTCTGCAGAATGTTGTCACCACGTTGCCCCGCCACTCCAGCCCTCAGGTGGCTTTCTGTCTTCCTGGAGAGGTTTGCTGTGTCACGGTTACTGCACTCGCTTGTTGTATTTAATTGGTTGCTGCTTGTTAATCTGCCGTGCTGGTTTTCCCGTGTCCATATCTTCACACTGGCGTGCCCTCCGCCTCAGTCCTGACGCTTCTCTTTGCCGACACTCCCTTGTTACCTCCCTGGTCGCTGGCTCTGAACGCAGCCCTAAGCTGCAGCCTTCTCTGACCTTGAGCCCAGATCCGCGCGGTGTCAGCTCCTGACCTTGCTTCCCTGTGGGCTCCTTCAGCAGGACTGCCGGGTCTAGCTTCCAGTTCTGCGGTCTCACCCCGTGTGCCCTCCGCCACCTGCCCTGAGCACCTGCAGCAGCTTTCTAGTTGGTTTCCGGGCGTCTGTCTTGGCCTGAGCGGCAGTCATCTCACTTGCTGGGAGGAAGTGCTCAGGTGTTCCCATTCCAGTGGAATAAAAGCCAGAGTCCTTGCAGTGGCTGCTCCCCACCCGTCCTTGCTGCAGCCCTGCTGAGGCCATATTGCCCTGGGCATTTGCCCGGCCCACTTCTGTCTTCGACCTCAGTCTCTGCCTTCAAGGGCTGTCATGGTGCTCTAGTGCTCCGAGCTCACCCCGCATCACTCTCCCTTCCCACTTCCTGTCCCTCAGAGCGCCCTCCGCTGCCTGGCGTAGGGACAGGCACTTCTGTGTCCACCCACACCCGGACGCGGCTTCTGTAGTTCACGCGCTCTGTGCCCTCCCTCCTCTCGAGCTGCTGGATGCTGGTGGGCCTCATCCATGAGCGAGCCTGGGGAGCACGTGTCGGAGAATCGCATTTTA